ACTGTGCCCACAGTGTACCCTCCAGACCTCCCTTACAACTGTGCCCACAGTACACCCTCCAGACCTCCCTTACAACTGTACCCTCAGTGTACCCCTTCCAAACCAAGACAGGTATCTTTCCCCCTCACCTTGTTGGGCTCAAACCACAACTGGTCTGTAGTATTATGTTATAGCTGCTATATTTTAAAAATATATTAACAATATATGGTTTGTCAAAAGAATCCAGCCCAGATCCTAAAGAAGTATACAGGAAGAAAAGAAATCTAAAAGGATTTACTGGAGTAGAAAGAATACTTTGCCTGTATTCAAAGAGCTCATACACACAGTAGGTTGCACGCAAGCCTTTGTAAGACTCCATGAAAGCACAACCAACTCTAGGGGACGGCAAATAAGGGGAGGCTGTTGGCTCCCAGGGAGAAGGAACTGCACAGGAACTGGAGCTGCCCAGGAGGGGAGTGGCGGGCCTTGGGCCTGGGATCTTGTTCTAGAGGGGTTTTTTGACAGTGGATGCGTTTAAACAGAAGCCCTGTGGCCAGTCAACACGTCAAAAGGTGGCCCTCAGTATTTCTAATTCCCAGTCTGAATCTGTGGCACACTATTCTAAAAGGAAACCCGGAATATTAGTGAAATAAGCATTGATTAAGAAGTGGGGCTACTCATGAGGAAATACAAAACTTTAGAGATCTGATGCTTTTCTAGGATATCAGTTCAAACACTGAGCATTTCTCAGAGATGGGCTTTCTTTAAATTTGGCACAAGAGAATTTCAGAAAATAAGAGCAAAGAACATCACTATGTATAATTCCACCCCATTGCTTTCGATGGCCTGAAGACACCATGTGGCACTGACGCCCAGTGGGAACAAAATCCCTCCACATCACTGGGAAGCAAGCCCAGCAGAGCACGTCCAAGATATGCGCTCCCGTTTGTGTCACCACCCCACAACACAACAGGGGCACCACAGCAAAGCCAGTCGTAGTCCTGTGGCTAGAAACCTGGGCTGCCGGAGGCCAAGGGACATGGTTTCACTAAACAGCTGAACAGAGAAAATTCACTGACACAAGAAAGGTGTCCGAGGTGCAATTCTAATCTCTGTTATCAATACAACAGCACAGAAGGAAAACACTCAGATGGGAAGCACCTATTTTGAGCATTTCTTCTCCAACTTCCCTCAAAAATAAGAACAAAGTCTAAAATCTCAAGGTTGTAAAGAGTTAACTGCGTTTAGTCATTCCCCACACATGAAATTGAGTCTGTTTTTTAAAAGATTATTGATGAATAAACTGCGGTTTTCTTCCTACTAACCCTTGGTTTATAGAAAGCTTGGTACAGCTTCAAAAATGTGATATAGCAACTTTGCCAGTTTCAAGAACCCAGGGTTTTATAATCCTGGTCAATTTCACCTGTCCCAATCCCCCTTTATCCTCAGACATCAGTTTGGAATGTTACTTTGTTGCTCCTAGCAAATGCCAAGATCCTGGGCTGCCCTTTTCACCTCTCTGCACATCTTGGGGCACACAGACTCGCCAACTCTCCCACACAGAGCTCTAGAGAAGTGAAATTAGAAGGTGCCAGCACTGAGAGAGTGAGTGCTGGGATGCAGGGAAGCCCATCAGTCTGTCAGGCTGCTATGGACAGAGGAAGTCCTGTTGGCCGCCAGCCCCCCAGCCCCTCATCATTTTAGAATTTTTTTCCTTCATACAATCAAAAATAAAGAAGTAAGGGCTGAGGCTGTGGCTCAGTGGTAGAGCACTTGCCTGGCATGTGTGACGCACTGGGTTTGATTCTCAGCACCACATAGAAATACATAAAATAAAGATTTATCAACAACTAAAAAATATATAATTAAAAAAATAAAGAAAATAAAGAAATAAATTTCCATATGTGATTCTGTTGTAATTAAATTTATATCTTACAGAAAACAGTTATTTCTTACATTAGGTTGCATCTGATAAAATTGAAACTGATTATTTTCAATATTTAATCCAAATTTAGAAGACTTTTTTCTTATGAAATAACTAATAACTTTGCATTCTTAAATCCGGATGCTGAATGCTTTCAACCCTCATACCCTCTGAGTTTTCAAGTTTGCTAAATCTCAAAAGTCGACATTAAGTATTTCTCTGGGACATGAAAATGGTGCTTTTAGTATTTCTGGAAGTGTCACACAATGTCACACAGAAGAGGTATCACCTTTTGTTCTCCCCAAAATGAGGTGCACCAACAGGAAGCAGGGGTCGGACAAGAACACACCTGAGCAGAGCCGTTGCACAGAGGACAGAGAGAACCTGGACAGCACAGGAGGCATCTGAAAGTGGCCTCTGCTACTGGCCTTAGCAGACTGCTGCCATCTGGGAATGCCGTGTTGGTGCTACCTGATCTTCTGGCTTTACAAGAGAAGGTAGAAATCCAACTCTTTTTATAGTATTTCCACTTCTAAATATTGGCCACTGATTCAGAAAACCCCATAAGCACATGCCAGCCATGCTAAATGCATCTGTCAGAGGTCCTCAACCTTGCAGCCTCCAAGTTGCAACCTTACTCAGCTGATGATTTCGTGTGAATGAGAGATGTTTTGAGAGGGCACTCAGCTTTTGCCACAATTTTTCTGACACCTTAACATGTTAGAATACTGAGAAAATGTACAGAGGCATTTCTTATTTCCTGTAACGGTAGTAGAAATGATATTTACATTACTTACCCTGCTGACTTCCTTAGGAGCTGATTCATCTGAGGGATGAAGGGGAAAACACAATTAGAAACTCTGAGCAGTTTCTGAAAATCAGAGTATGTCATTTACTCTCAACAAATTCAAGGCTCTTTTGCAATGCTTCCTCTTAGAAAATCTTATAACTTTATTTTTTAAAAACTATAAAGGTTAAACATAACAAATCTAAGCAAACACTAATTGCAGAGGAAAAACAAAATACCATCCCCACAGCAGGGCATTTACAGATTACCTTTTCAAGATTTCAAAGTACCTGCAAACATGACCACACTGAGGCATATTAAACAATACATTATCTAGATGGGGTTCAACACTTGCACTGTTTTACATGATACAACCCCAGTGAATACGACACTTGCGCTGTGAGGACTCAACCCAGCAGACTTGGAATTGTCTCGGCTCTCCTGCTGAAATAAGGCCTGTAACTGCAGGCATACTGGCCCGGCAAGAACCAAACTTGCTAACGGTTCTCTCGGCACCATGGGCCCCAACAGCTGAGCTGCGCACACCAGCTCCACAGCACTGTTGACTGCCAAGTGAGACTGACGGCTTGTACCTGGTCCAAATGAGTCCGCTATCCCCTTCAAGGGCTCTTCTCTTGGAGCTGTTACAGGAAAAAGGATGCTTGTATGATCAACAGGGTGTGAGAAACATGCTGGCAGAGATTCCCTTTCCATCTACGGGTTCTGAATGTCTTGTGACCCAGAGAGCAGTTGTGTGACACTAACAGAGAGGGAATGCTACTGGAGTTCAACCTGGCCTGCCCAGACTCTTTGCTCCTTGCCAGACGGCAGCCTTAACATGATGGCATGCTGCACTGTGTCATTATCCTGCAACAGATTACAGGTTCATGGGCACTGTGTCTTCCTTAGCAGTCAACCCCAGTCTAGCTGCTAGCTTAACTGCACTGACACACCCTGTGTCACCACAAAGCATGCGTGGGTAAAACATGCCCCACATCTCTGGTTCAGGAATTCAGACAAGGTTATTATTCTCTTTCCTTCTTCAATGTCCATGTTAACTGGCCACTGATTCCTGATGTTTGTTTGCTCTTTAATCCTTCGATTTTTCTCAAGTTCACTATTTACTACCCATTCCTACCGATGACAATCTACTTCCAAATCACATCATCTATCAACTAGTAGGTTCCAAGCTGGTCCCTGAGCCCAATATCTGCCCTAGTAATCATGTCTATGCTAGAAAGCACATGCACAGACACACACACACACACACACACACACACACACACACACACACACACACTGTTGGTGAAAGCCCTGACCTGCAGTCACTGGCTATGCCGACTAGAGGAAGGTGCCTTAAAGTGAAACACTGTCCTAACAATATGAACCTTTGCCTTTGTTGTCCTGTAAAGAGCATATTCTGAATGAAAAGCAGCAGCACTGCCTCCTCCTGCCAGTCCACACTGCCTGCATGGGGACCCCGGGGCTAAAGCCAGGACTTCCAAGCTGCCTTCCTCCCCTGCAGATTCCACCTGCACCTTGAATGGACAGCTGGAAGCAGAAACAGCATTTCACATAGTCCAGCAAGGAAGCCCGCATTGAAATGAAAGGGTACCGAACCATAGAAAAGAAGGAAATTCCACTGACATAAGATTTGGAACCACTCACTGGCAACCAAAAGGCTCACGACAGAGGACACTGATTCCCAGGCTGCCCAGGGACTCCACAAACACTGTTTCATTCAGCAAGTGAGTACCAAGGAAACGTATGCACCAGGCACTTATCTCTGCTCCCAACAGCTTGCATTCCAGGGAGATGAATAAGCAAGGAATGATGTTTTAGGAAAACCTTATCTATGGTTGTTAAAGACAAATTCATTTTTTAAAAACATATAAAGAATCCACAATCAAAACATCATTTTAATAATTTCTAAAAGCCTTAGCAAGAATAGTTCATGGGAAAAAAAATCATTCCCCAAAGGGATTTCACAGTAAGTACTAAAAACTTTTTATAGTAAATACTTACTGGTATACCTTTCATGGTAACTACTCAATGTTAAGTATTTTATAATTTCTTGTAATTGTGTGTATATTCATTACTTTTTGTGATCACGTTTGCTGATTTTTCCTTTGATACAAAATGGGATTTTACTAAAAATCCACCCTAATTACAAAGCTTAAAGAAATTCAGATTGCACTTATACTATTGTGCTCACATAGCCACAAATTTGGTCAAAGGTCTGTGGCCACTTGTCATATTTTTCACTGTGTGCTTGGCTTTGAGGCAAACTTCATTAGGGCTGGGGATCAGAATCCACTAACGAATAGACTTTAGAATCAGTAAGGAATTACTGAATTTTCTTACTATATGATCTATAAAAATAGCAATCAAAAGTAAATACCGCTTAAGAAAAATAAACTATGAAAGGAAAACAATCAGAGTAACTTAAATAAGTTTAACAAATTATTGTAGAAGATACAAATAAGATCTACTTAAAATCAAGCATTAAAGAGCTAAAAAAGATTCTTATTCTTACAATATACAAATATTTTTCTTATTATTTTCTAGCATATTACTTATAAAAGGCTCTGAAAAGACTTAAAATAAAAATATAGATACATAATCCAAAAATGCAGCGGCTAAAAATGATGGCAAATGTTTATATTTATTTACATGAAAAGCTGTCCATAATTCAGTCAATTTAGAAAGGATATGGTACTATTGTAGAAGCTTACCTTGGCTTGCTGTATACATTTTTATAAAGTTTTATTTGTATACACACAAATGGATTGCAGTTAAAAATTATTTTTTCTACAGTATTTCATGTCTTTTCACAAATCTGAAGTGAAAAAAAATGCAACCATAGACTTCACACATAAACATAAATATGCATCTTTCCTAGTATCTTTTTCCTCTACACATTCCCAAATTTTTATAATCACAATAAACTGCAATGTGAATAATGAGTCTTTTCCCTAATAGATGGATTCCAAAATACAACCTTTGTGCATGAGGACAAAAAATCAGCATTCAGTGCACATGACCAGGTGGAGGTGCCAAAGATGCAGAGCCCTTCCAAGAAACCCCACAGAATTCTTACATCTGCCTGTGGCATATCTCTCTGTGTTGGCCCCAAGATGTTCCCGTGCTGCTGGGATTGTGTGAGCCTGCCAACACCCACTCCTGCTCTGGTGCTACTTGCTGCAGTACCCACCCCAGGCAGGGGTGGCCTGCAGCGAGTCAGTGAGAGAACAACCACTGGTGGCACTCCTTAGTTATCTAGTCAGGATCTGGAGCAGATACCCTGCACTCTAACAGGTTCAAGGATGTTCTGGAATTCCCTGAACAGAGAAAATGCCCATCACTGTCACATTTATAATGAGGAAAAATAAAAGCCATCTTATTAAGGCTAAGCAGAAAAAAATAAGCAGACAATTAGCATAGAAAAAAGAAAGTCAATAGTGATAAGGGAACCAAAAAAATTATGTCTGAAAACATATAACATAAGAGTTAAAGATAATATACTTTCTGGAAACCAAAGGCAGAAAATTATGGCTGAGGTGCTTTGATTGCTTAATATAAAAAACAAATGAGTGCACTGTAGGAGGCATTCATTTCCTTGGCTGTGAACTCTGTGAGAACTTGACCTAGAGGTTCTCACAGGATGGACACTGCATTTGTCCTTTACTCTACCCATACAACACTATTTCAAAACATAATCTTAAAAAAAAAAAAAGCTAATCAGGAAAAGCTGCAATCTAATATTAAAAACTTTGCACCTCAAGTTCTATGAAAATCATGTTAATATTAGATGTAAAACAAAGACTTTAAGAAAAGGTTTTCCAGGCATGGTGGCACATGCCTGAAATCCCAATGACTAAGGAGGCTGAGGATTAGAAGGATCCTGAGTTCAAACCCAGCCTCAACAACTTAGAGAGAACCTGTGCAACTCAGTGAGACCCTGTCTGAAACAAAATATAATAAAAGGGCCGGGGATGTGGCTCAGGGTTAAGCACTCCTGGGTTCAATCCCTGGTACAAAAAAAAAATTATTAAACTTCTTTAATAATCATTTAGAAAAAAAGAGGGAAATGACCATTTCATGCCTATGTGATAAATTAAGATTGAAAACTACATTTTTCCATTCCAGATTGTGATATTCATATGACCTAACTGAAGGTTACGAAGTCTCCCATAGATAGGTTGATTCTCTGCTCTGCTCTCAGAAAATACCAAGGAGTAACATGAGGGAAGTACTATGTATCCAAGGTAGCTCCCTGACTGTGGTCACTAGAAAGATTCATTCACTGCACTGCTGTCCTTCAAGACAATTCAACTCACTTTGCCTTCCACACTTCATAGACAGTATCTAACATTCCTAGTTACCCCCCAGGGCATCTACAACACACAAGACACACACACTTCCACAAGCCTGGCCTCAGTAGGGCTCCATACTGGTTTTGCTCCCTCTTAACTCAAAACCTTCCTACCTTCAAACAGTATTTACCAACCATATGGGTGCCACACATGATTCTTAGTGCTTTCAGTCAGTATCTCAGAGATCAAAAAGACAAAAATAAAACAAAACCTTGTCTTTGCAGCTTCATTCTAAAGGTAGGGGACAATAAGCCTGATAAGGCTCAGAATTAACATAGCAAGTTGAAAGTGCTTTCAGGTGCAGAGGGCAGGGCCAGGGGCTGCCCAGGTGGTGGGGAAGGGAGAGGCAGGGTGTGCAAGTGGCAGTCTTCCAAGGCTGGTACACTGAGGAAACACTGAAGTCCCTGCTGCTGAACTGGACTGCAGCTCTGAATGTAAGTCTTCCAAGACCAGCGAGGCCTCTGGTCCATCCTCTCAGACAACAGACAACTAACCTTTGTCAACATTTATACATTCCTTCCCTGTTAGGAAAGCAGGATACTTTAGAAAATAAATGATTTAAAGCTGGAGTCGGGGTAAATCTCTTCTCAAACATCAGCTTTACTTACCCACCAAAACTGGCTTTCTTGACCTTTCCAAACTTGTTTTTCTCATAGTTATAAA